CCGCCCTCCCCCCCAAAAAAATTGGCCCAAAGTGTGAGGATATTGAATGCCTTCACCCTACCTAGGGCCATCTATCAGGCAGACATGGGCAAAAGATCAGCAACCAGATTAGCCCAGATAGACAGGATGGTCTAGAAAACTGCGAAGGATTGGCTTCATTTTGCTCAGTCCAACAGCAATGGCCTGCTATATTAGCGAGTCCGTGATGAGCGGCTCGGCCCGATCTAACTGAAAGATTCAACATAGGCCAAATGCATCTGGCGGATGTGTTTGTCAGAGGACCTGTGGATGAGTTCCCGAGCCCGTGAGATTGTGCAGCAACCTTCCTGGGAGGCGTTGTGGACCAGAGCAGGAGGTAAACCCAGCTGCCCAACCGAGATGGGCTTGGGTGAGAGTCTGCAGCAGGCTGGATTGGGCTTGATTGCCTTTCCAAACTGGCAAGGAGAGGAAAATTTGGCTTTGGAAGTGTTGGAGGTTCAGGGAAGGGGAGTGGAGAGTACCGGTTAGATTAGCACTCGCTAGTTAGGACGACACGATAATTAATAATAAAATTTACTGCACCAAAGTGACAAAAAAATCCCTGGATTCTAGGGTATGACGGGGGATCCAGGAAAATTATGTCAACTATTTCAAACTAAAAAGGAAAACCTTTCTGTAGCATGATGATACTGCGTCAGCGCAACATGTGTATTGTGGTCCAATACATAGCCAGGTCCCCAATTAACTGAATGAATTAGGCTTTGCAAAGTGCTTTTGGACACGATTTCGTGTGGATAAAGCACTACATAAGTACATTGCTTTTACCATTTTGATAAAGTAGGATTTTTTTGGTGGGGAAAGTACAATAAGTAACTGGTTCAAGTTCATCCTGTATTCACTTGTTGATATGAACACGAATAGTGAATGCTGATTTTGGATTGACTCGAAACGCTAGCAGATAGTTTTGAAGATGAAGATGATGATGATGGCCTGCACAACAAATGAGAGCTTGCAGCTCTTCTGTCTTTTGACATCTGTGAAAAACTAGTAAAATTACGAGGTAAACCCACAAAAGATAAATTCATGGTCACAAATGAAAACCTTGCGATAGACTGAAGCTGCAATAACCAAACAGCGAAGTAGTTAAGGAATGCTGTCAACAATCATTTATTCAACCATAAATGTAGACAAAATTTCTGTCTGACATTGTTTTGGCATCTGAACTTTTACAAAATGTTGATGATAACTTACCACGTTTCTGCATGAAACTGAAGAGATCATCCAGAAATTCTTTACGCTTTCCATCATCATCCAGTTCATACAACTAGACAAAAGGGGAAGAAGCAATAAATTAAAGTTAAATTAAATTGGACTTTTTTTTCAAGAAAATTGGGCTTGTTATTTTAATGCAAAACTTGTGTGGGGAGGTATGTCTTGCTCTAATGTTTTTTTCTCAATGAGCGATTCTTTTGGGAAGCATTCATGTCTCGACCCTTGGAGCAAAACATCAAAGAATAAAACATTTATTTCCCTTTGCCAGTAGTAGGGATGGGTACCAAGCACTGTAACTAAGTTTTTTTTAACTGTAGTATAGATTAATTTTGACAATAAATTTTTATTTAATTTTAGTGAAGAGTCTTTAAAATTAAAGTTTTCGTCATAATTTAGTCATCTGACTGTATTTTAGTTTTAGACCAATTTTAGCCAAAACAGACAAAAAAAGGACAAAAACAGCAATTTTAGTCAACTAAATTAATAATTGTCGTCAATTTTTTTTTAGCATACATGAAAACTTTCACACAGAAAAGTATGACACCTATTTGTAAGTGCAGTTTAACACATAAGACACACATTTAACACAAATGTGTCAAAATTAAAATTTGTTTCAAGAAAAAATGTTGAAATTGCAATATTATGCGACCATAAAACTTTAGTTTTTAACTACAAAAAAGTGTGCCCCAGATTAATTACAATGAATGTAACCATGTACAACAATGCTGGTAACACAACCACAGAAGGCTGACATTTATTTACTTCGGTTCATTGTAAAGGAAAGCACTTTGTGCAAATGAGACTTTTGTCCTGTTACCCTTTCCCCTAGTGAAGTCTCCTGGGACACTGAACACTCTCACAATGTGAGCAATGGCAGCATTATTTCCCTTGGAGAACATCTCGGGATGTACGTTCTGTAGATGTCTCTAAAAAATTGCCGTTTTCTTCCCACACATGACGGTTCCACATTCTTGACACTTAGGTCTTTTTTTCTTCATCATGAAATGTAAAATGGCCCACAAATCCTCTCGTCGTTTTCTACCAGTTACGGATATTATCTTCCACTTTAATCATCACATCTTCTTCATCTATACCCCTGATTAAGGTGACATGAACACTACTGCACCTTCAACTTCTCTGATGATGTTTATAACAACCAATAAAAATATTGTTTGTCGAAAACAAACATGTTTAAAAATGTAGGGGAGCCACTTCACATGACTCCTTCACCGTGCGCAAGAGGCACCTGTGACTCCTTGCTGTGTCAGCTGTGATTATATTATGACATGATACGTAGCATTATTTAAAAATGCAATGCATCCATCATGCCATGTACCCCGAAAACTGAGCCGTGAATCCTGAACCGCAAATCCCAAACCGCGAAAACTGAACCGCGATTCCCGACCCACGAAAACTGAACCGCGAATCCTGAACCGCGAAAACTGAATTGCGAATCCCGAACCGCGAAAACTTTATAGTTTGCTATTTGATCTGTGGGATTGAAATTTGTTTAACAGTGGTGGCAACTCCGCCGTCCCAGACCCACCTACTCGAGATTGGAAGCCATGCCATCACCGTGTCACAGACTTAGGCAGCACAGACCGCAAGGTCAGCGGCTTTGAAGGCTCTGAATGAGGTTTGACGAGCGTACACTCACACAGCGCAAGATGGTGTCGTTTACATGGGGTTATTCTAAGCGTGATTAATCAATCTACACTCAATGCAAGTACCATACAAGTTTCGTTATTCTTGGTTTGAGTAGTTATGGAAATGGAGGGATGATATCGTAATGTTGCTGCTCAAAGCAATCAACCGTTAAAATAGGGGTGTTCACATGGCAACTTTTACTCCGGTGCAGCACCGGGGCTACCCCCCGTAGAGCATTCGCACGTATAAAGTTACACCGGTGTAGCCCCTGAAAACAGCTTAAACCGGAGCAAATTTAACCCTGCTCAAGGAGATGGTTTAAAAATTTACTCCGGAGTAAATGCTCGTTTGCGGGGCAGCACCGATATAAAAATGGATGTGTGAACGCTACGGGGGTAGACTCGCTATGACGTGTCAGAAGAGTTGATTACATACAGGTATTGAATGCATTGCTTTTGTGCTCTGTTGTACTTAAGTCATCTTTCCTTTCTCTCACATTCTTTAACGTCTGGTCTGATAGACCACAGCGCTGATTTGTCTGGAGAAGTATAAACTATGGTTTTTCGATATGTCACAAACAAGGCGGAGAATAGGGAGTGCACTTTACGGATGGGCATGTTTTATTTCCGTATTCCGTATTACTATCGTATTGCACGGCCGCAGAAACTGCCATGGGAACGCAAGTGCACTTCTCTATAGTAAGCAGCTTTTTACGTGTGAACGCTCCACAAAATTTACACCGGTGTAAGATATATCGCAACAAAATACGTCGGTGCAGCACCGATGCAAATGTGTGCCGTGTGAACACCCCTATTGTCAGGACAAACAAGCAGGCTTAACAAACATTGTATATGTGTTTTTTTTGCAGCCCAATAGCATGTTCCGGCCATGTTGCTACATATAAGTTTTCTTTTATGCTAAATAATGTTTATATAATGTTTAACATCACTTTAGCGTGGTGGAGGGGTTTGTGTGTTGCAAAGATCCATGGAGCTAAGCTGTCTGGTGCTTTTTGCCACTGGCAGGATCACTCATGGCAAACAGATCCTAGGTGTGGGACCAGACAAAGCACAGCTCACAGACCCCTAATGATGAAAAAGATATATGCATCCAGTTTTCCCTTGCCCTGACGCGGGTCACCGAGGCCCCCCTCTGAGCCAGGCCTGCAGGTGGGGCTCGCTGGCGAAAGAGGCAACATGGGTCCCCCTTCCCATGGGATCACCACCCATAGGAGGGGCCAGAGCGGTCGGGTGATTTGTGAGTTGGACGGCCGCCAAAGGCGGCGACCTTGGGGGTCCGATCCCCGGCTACAGATGTCACGGTTCGAACGAACTGAATAAAGGTTTTGGATCCCAGAATAGTAGACGCCAGACAAAACTCTGCAACAAAAATATTTATGAATACAAAAATACACCAACCAAGTCGGAACGAAAAGCGCTGGTTAAATAAGGACCAGGAAAAGACAAACAATACTCAGTCCAGGCTGCGTCGATGCCGTAAAAGCCAGCCAAACTGTGTTCATAAGGAAGTGCATCGAGCGACGCGATGGCGCCTGCCGAAACAAGCCAGACCTCACCCTCGCTCGAATAAAAATATATATTGGGGCAAAAAGGAAAACACACAGATTATCAGAAAAACGTGTCTGTCTGACTTCGAGCATCATGTCGGCTAGGCTAGCTTAGCTGTTGTCGTAGTTCAAAGCTTCTTTGATATGTGACGTGGGTTGCGTTGGCGCCGTGAGTACGTGCTCGCGCTCACGCGCGCACAGCAGAGAGCAGCGGACTATCAACTGCTGAGGCTTCACTCGAGTGGCGTTGCTACAGTACATGCATATTATGGAGCAGTTCCCGGAGAAACGCAATTTGTCCGCCGTGTAGTGCCATTTTGATCTCCTTTTGGAGAATAAGGTATTTATTCAAATCTCCTTGTCTCACCAAGTGCCTCTTGGATTTTTGACATGTCTTACTCCATTCTAATTCAAATTAATTTCAAGGTAACTCTTAGTTTACTTTTCACATATTTTATTGCAGGTGAAATGTCGAATTTGGCATACAGAAATATCATATACCAACAAAAGCACCTATGCTACTACATCTGGCATCTTACTCATCATTATTAGTTTGTTTTTCAGAAACTGTGCTAAATGTCAAATTTGTCAGGTTTGGTTTTTTAGATGACCTGTGGCAACATTTGAATGATGAGGTAGGGAGACTGGGAAGAAGTGCAACAGGAAATGCTATACCTGAGGTCCAGCGATACCGAGCAGAGGGGAAAATTACACGCAGTCAAGATCCGCTGTTATAATCCAAGGACCAACACACTACTTTTCCCAACCTCTCCCACCTCGCAAAGCAGTTCCTCTGTACGCCGGCATCACCACTGCCATGCGAGTGTGTGTTCTCCACAGCAGGGGAAATAGCATGCAAGAAACGCAACAGACTGAAATTCAAAACACTGGAGCAACTTATTTTCCTGAATAAAAATTTGTGAAGACAAAGCACACAAGCATCCTCGTTTACATAATTTTCACATTATTCAAACATATTGAATAATGCAATTTGAATGATATTGTATACGCTTCATCACCAAATCAGTCAGTTCAGTCTGTCAAGTGGGTTGCCTGCAGGGATTTTGAAAGTCCAGCAGGTGTCAGTAGTCAGCGACACAGTATCAAAACAGTGTGTGATTGTGTCAACATGCTTCATGAGGCCTCATGGACCCATCATTAGCGCTTGCAAAAAAGCAATGCCAAGAATCCAATTCACGTAAGCAAGAACAAATAACAAAAACAAAAACTATACTTACAAAAACATAGAACCCAGAGAACAAGAGCAAACACGACGAGAGTGAGAGGTCTAGAAAAATGATCACTTGAGCAACCGCAGTAGCAAGGTCAAACAATACTCCGACACCCAGCAGAAAGTGGGTCCTTAAATACCTGGCTCACTAATGACAGAATTGACAGCAGGTGTGCACACAGCAAGTTTGCTCAGTCTGCCACCTGATGGTTAAACCAAAAACAGGAACATGACAACAGAAGCTAGCTGTACGGACATGGAAGGTAACCTCTCTTTTGCTAGGAAAGAACCCGAGCTGGTGTGCGACGAAGAGAAGTTTCGACTGGACACAGGCGAACCTGCCTCCACACACAGCCTGGGCTCCGGTACCAGTTCTCTCGAGAGGGGTTGGACTCTCTTGCACTCTGGAGTTACCCACTATGAAAGGCGCAGAGCAGGTGTGGGCTTACACAGCATAACCGTAGCTCAGTGCCTGTACATTGGGGTCCACACCAGTGGATGAGTGGGTAGCCTCCCTCTGCCTTCAGGTGGGTGGAACAGGTCCTGCCTGTTGTTTGTGCCTATGCACCAAACAGCAGCTCAGAGTACACACCCTTGTTCATAAACGTGATTTCACAAGGCAGACTACCCCCTGAACTGGTCGACAGTCAGTTGCAGGACACATACAGAGACAGACAATCACCAACCCTCAAATTCACACCGTCACTGAGTGGGAACTGATCGCATGCCGCCCGCAGACAAGTCAGGCGAGTGTACCACTACACCATCAGCGGCTTGGGGCCTGTCATCAGGGATTAAATTCCACATTATTCTGCCATTAGTCTGTTTGTTAGTCATATCAATGTGGCATCCGCTGACCAATCAGACACCCGTACGATATAGTGTACTATGACCATTTTCAGCCAATCCCGATGTAGAGGAAGTTCCCCTTATACAACTTCATCATAGAACAACATCACATGACTGATCCCCGCAAACATTTGTTTACGCAGTCATGCTTGTGAGATAGGAGCAGTGGCAGACGAAGGTTTTACAATGGACTATTAACAATAATCGCAACTGGAAATAGGGAGGATGACAATGGTGAGTCCTTGCAATCATTTGCTTTGAGTGAGGGCACAGGAGGCGCTCGTTCGCAGCCTCCCTAGCCCTGGTGAGCGACCAGCGGGCTGGAGTAGCCGAACGCTGGTGCTCTGTCTCTCTTTTGGTAGGCTGAAGAATGCTCATCCCTTCTTTTCTCCACTCTACTTCTGACACTGTTTACTATAGTGTGGTGCTTTCTCAAATTAGCGGCAAGTTTTCTCCCTTGCCAAAATGGCATTTTTTGCATTTCATGCAGGGCATTATGGGATGCATGTCGTCAACATCCGGAGCTCTATCATCTTTCGTATGTTTTTATATTTTATTCATGAACTCTACTGATTTTTTTTTTTTTTGTAGACCATGATGACCCGCACCTTTGCTCAAAAGTCAATGCACTGCTGGTTGCTTTGGAAACCCACAGGTATCATCCCAGTGCCGCAAAAGATTTATATTGCAAAGAATAGAGGTGGACGGCCCGGTGGTGGACTGGTTACCGCGTCGACCTCACAGTGCAGACGTTGCGGGTTCGATCCCGGCTCCAGCCGTCCTGTGTGGAGTTTGGATGTTCTCCCCGTCCCTGCTTGGGTTTTCTCCGTGTACTCCGGATTCCTCCCACATTCCCACTTCAAACTCCCACCTTCGTCTCTGTGCGCCCTGCGATTGGCTGGCAACCGGTTCAGGGTGTCACCCGCCTACTGCCCGAAGACAGGTGGGATAGGCTCCAGCACCCCCTGCGGCCCTTGTGAGGATAAAGCGGATCGGAAAATGGATGAATGGATGGATGGATGAATAGAGCTGTTAAATTGATAGTTATGGTCGATGATGGAAAATGTGTCAAAATGCCAGGAATAAATGTTTGAGAACCGTCAAAATGATGGCCCTGGTAGTTCTAGTACTAAAGCCAGCTGGTGTGGTCGTCACAAGGCAGCTCTAATGCATTTTATTCAAAATATTGCATGCTGTATTTCATACTTTTTCAGTAAGCTGGTGAATCAGTCAATGGCACACACTTTATCCGATAGTAAATGCATTGCAGTGTAAACTCATTATTTAGCATTATCTGGTAGTCATTCCCTGCAATTGGCTGGCAACCAGTTTATGGTGTACCCCACCTCCTGTCTGAAGACAGCTGGGATAGGCTCCAGCACTCCTGGGACCCTTGTGAGGATAAGCGGATGAGAAAAGGAATGGATGGATGGACGGATGCATGGTGCTCATTTCATAACATAAAACTGTTCATTTATCCATTTTATCAATGGTAAACATTGTAATTTATTGAATGTCAGGTTCCAGTTGGGGATGGGGGCCAATATTTGATGGTTAGCCCAGGGGGCCTATGAGTTGGTGAAGGGGGCACTGTGTAAGTGCATGTCCCCACATTATTAAGGAGCTTGGTGATTTCAAATAGAACTTCATATGATTTTATATAAACACACACACACGCACGCACGCACGCACGCACGCACGCACGCACGCACGCACACACACACACACACACACACACACACACACACACACACACACACACACTAGGGCTGCCAAGATTAGTCGACCAAAAGCGTCGGCAATTAATTTAAGTCGTTGACTAGTCAGTATTAATTTTGCAGTTGTTTCTTCTCTCAAAACAGCATCTGAAAATGGATGGATGCATTTAAGGATGGATGAATAATAAAAACTAGTTTCAAATGATCAATAATAATCACAATATAATACAAATATAAAAATACATTTTCAAATCACATAATTTTTACATTTTATTTTAAAAACACACTCCACATATAGTAAACATTCAGATATTTATAGAAAAAATTGATTTAAAAATACAGTATTTTCCCGCATCACTCAAAATTATAGTATTTTACGGGTGCAGTGATCCAGTACTGTAACCAGTCATCAAAAATACCAATAACTTGATAAAGATTTACAGTACTATAGTGGAAATTATAAATGGAGCAGCATACTGTATCATCTTGGAGTATTTTACCACATTGCTGCTGCCAGTAAAATATTTTAATTTTTACTTAAACAAGTTTTGCAGTGTAGTCATTTAAGTTTTTTGTTTGTTTGTTTGTTTGTTTGTTTGTTTGTTTGTTTGTTTTTTCAAAATTACAGCCTACAGACAAAAAAAAATGTGCGTTGATTTTGCACAATTTAATTTCATCAAATGGTTGCATGGAATAAAATAATCTGGATCCATACACATTCTATTAAATACAGTACTAATCTACTTCCTATCACATGATTGCATGGAATAAAATAATCGAGATCAAAATACATTTTTTTAAGTAGTGCAGTCTATTTATCAAAATGCATCTGGATCCAGACAATCTTATTTTATGCAAGTACTTGATGAAATGAAATTTGAATAAAATCAACACATTATTTTGTTTCAGTGGACATGTTTTTATTTATATAATTGTATTTGACATTATGAAATATGTAAACTTTTCTTAGTTCTATTGTTGTATATGTTGAGTACTTTATCAAGTATTTTCAGGTCGACACGACATTGTTTTGAATTTGGTTCATGGAGCATCCAACATCGATTTGTATAAAAACCGAAGTGAAACTGAATGAACAAAGGGGAAAAGTTGTTTTATGCTTCTTTGCTCAGATGCGTAGCCTTCTGCGGATCAGTGATTTCTTACCTGCTTGAACTGCTCTTCGTAGGTCCACTCGTGGTGCTGTGGCTGCGGTGGCCGAGGGGGTGACTCAGGGCGGCATTTCTGGGCCAATGCCCCCGGGGCCCTGTTCATCACATGCACCGCGGCGCTTTTCTCAAGCAGACAAGTTTCTTGGAGCAAACGCTCCCGATTTTCATCGTGCTTCAAGCAGTCTTCCACGTCTCCATCAATTAGCTCCTGCTCTTCCGCGTCTTCCTGCAAGTCTCCAATGTCTCTGTTGTCGCTCCTGTTTCGGGATGAATTTCTGTCCTCGCCGGCTTCACAGACCTGCGTTTGACTCACAGACGCGCCAGGAGAAGAGCTGTAAACTCCAGCGGCCAAGGCGCTGTACATCGTCGCCTGGTAGTGCCGGAAAGCCAAAGCTTGTTGGTGTATCTGGGACTCTACCATTGAGCGGAGGTCTCGCTCTTTCCCTGCTTGTCGGAGTTTCTCATCCAGAGCCAGCCGCGCTGCCTGTTGCCGCTGCAGGTTCTCCATGACAGCCTCGAGCCTCATGCCGCCACTGCCGTGTTGGTGGGCCTTTACGCCAGGGAAGTGAGAGTGGGAGGCGGGAGGTGGTAGGTGGGACAAGTTGCCGGTGGACGAGAAGCAGCCTTCCTATGTGGGGACAAGAGGACCACAAGTGCTGAGATTGTCGTTCCTTTTTCACGGTCAGACTTCCAGTCTAAATTTAAAATGATAAGCTTTGTCACACAGTAACAAAGGGAAAAAAAGATCAATACGAATTTTGTAAGTGAGCAAAATTTGTTGGAGTGTAAAACGCATCGAAATAAATCAATCATAAATTATTGTAATTTTGAAAGCACTTACCAGAGCAGATTTAGTTCCTAACCTTCTGTCATCAACCATGCTTGTTTTTGTTAGACGTATCACCAGAAATCACCAGAAAACAAAAAGCCTGTTTGTAAAAGTATCTCAATAAGCAGGCTACCTGGCCAATAGTTGTGTTCAATGCAGGAGCCCGAGCAGCTTGAGCAACAAGTGGCAAATGTAGTCAGAATGACCTCTCAAGCAGAGATCAGTAAATCCCCACCCCCACTTGTCTGCCAACATCACATCAATATTCCCACAAAGAACGCCTAGTTTGACTGTACCAAATGCTTCTACTGATACATTACGGCAAATTCATCAATTTTGTCAGTGTGCATATTTTGGAATAATTAGTTATAAACTTCTTGAACTTTGCCAGGTCAGTATTGCAGATGAGATTCTGTTCTCAATTGACTCACCTCAGTCAGCTGGATAAAGCTTAAATAAGTAAATAAATAAATTACTGATCTGGTGATGGACTTACTGACCCTTGAGTATGTAGTCAAATTGCCTGTACTTTGGTAAGAATTGTGATTCACAATTACCCAAATTTTTTGAGGTGTAAATTTTGAAGTTCTATGATAAAATCTCAAACGCAAAAAAATACATAAAAATGACAAACCTAATAGTTTCACTTGAACTGAATTGAACTCGTTGGTTCCTTTTTCTCAGACAGTTTTTTTTAAACGTTATTTACCTGACTTGCTCCGGCGGAAGTCTTTCGCCTTCTTCAGAGTGTCACATGACGGTGTGTGACACGTCTTTATCAGCTGATGGTCAATGAAGGAGTGACTCAGCTTGGATCAAACAATTTTTGGGTAATCCCTCATCGATTTGGAACTTTATACCTAACTATATATTTTCTCAACTTGGTGGTCTTAACTTTGTACTTTTATGTGACTACAAAATAGAAAAAATTCCCTTGGCTTCATCCAATTTCCACAAACAAATACTTTTGGCTTGGTCCCTGATATATAAACATAATTTTCCCCCTCATAAATGCTTTATCTGGAATAATCGTTCCATCTTATACAAGAATAGATCATTATTTCTCCATAATTGGTTCAATAATAAAATAATCCTGGTCAGTCAACTCATCAATAATCAAGGTTTCCTTTTAAATTACTCTGAATTTTTGAATAAATCTAATCTACCGGTCACCCCAAAAGAATTTGCTACAGTCATGGATGCTATTCCTTCTGGAATCTTGACCCTCTTGAAAGGGGTGGACAGAACAACCTCCACACCAACTCTGGACCCCAAAATGACTGCTATCGGCAAATCCTGTTTTACGTCAACATCAGTCAGAAATAACAACCGTACCATACGTTCCCTGTTTCAAAAAGATATTTCAACAATCCCACACATTATTACCTACTGGTCTGGTTTTGTTGATAATCTACACTGGGGAAAAATCTGGTCTCTCCCATACAAATACCTCCTGACTAATAAAGTTAGGGAAATCTCTTTTAAAATGATACACAAATACTATCCCACCAAGCATTATCTTCTTAGGTTCAAGAAAGACATCTCTGTTGATTGTTCATTTTGTGGAATGTACCCTGAAACAATGGTTCACTTGTTCTGGCAATGACCATATACCAACACATTTTGTTCCATATCGACAAATCCAGATGGAGTAATTTAAAACCTCTTTTCTTAATTTTTGAAACAGAAATAAAGCAGTACCTAAGTTCTATTATGGATTCTAAAAACAAGAAAGCTGTTAAAACTCTGGCTATATGCTCCTTATTTGAAAATTTCGTTTAAAATCCTCTGTCTTCTTTTTTGTTTAAATGTTTGTAATATGTGTATGTATTAATAACATGTTCATTTTGTTTTCTGTTTATTGAAAATTGTACTATGACTTGTTCGAATAAAGATTCATTAAAAAAAAAAAAAAAAAGGAGTGAATCAGCTGTCAACTTTGAAAG